CTTAGCAAAGTAACAAAGATATTGAGCATCTTCAAAATATGACCCATAATAGTGGTCGCAAGTATAAAGAAAGGTGAAGACAGACCCTGTCTCCATAATACTTATCATACAATTAGGGGAGTCAGAACTAAGCTTAGTTCAGCAAACATTTATTAAATTCTTATTGTGCCAGTTTATAATAGATGCAGGAAGAAAAATATAAATAAAGCATGGTCCTTGTCTTTCAGGGGCTTATAATTTTGGCTGCTGCATATGTGGGTATATATTTTTGTGAGTATGTATGGGGATATGTGTACTGTATAAGAACCAGTGTAAATGCAAATACTTTCAGTGCAATTTGGAGGTTATGACACAGTGGTAACACTATACAGGAAAATTTAATCCAATATAGGGAATAGATGAAAGGAGAAAATGGTAAAAGCCAAGCTCAATCTTGGGAATCAATTTTAGCTAGAGGATGTGAATATCATTCCATGCTGAAGGAACAACAGGGTGACTGGGGAACCACAAACAACTCCAGGACAGGTGATGTAAGGAAAGGTCCACTACTGCACTTTCTCTAAATTATTTTGGAACTCTTGTAATATAACTACACAATGAATTTCTGGGATAAAAAATGTACCTTTCTTCACTCCCATGAACCCCCTCTTCTTTGCTTTGGTGGGGCTAGGGTGGGAGGAAGCTGACTTTGAAAATACTTGAGAGCTATATTACCTGCTTGGCATAGACTACCCAAACCCCATCATCAAATGCATTTACTTTAATCACTTTACTGTAAAGGCTATTTTATGTTGATCATTTGTGCAGTAGCTTATCAGGAGAATCTTATATATGTACAGGATACCAGATTCTGAATCAATAAACGCTTACCAAGCAGCTAATATACTTTCATATCTTTCTTCCCTCCTGTTAGCAAGGCTAATTTTGCAAATATATATTGTCAGGGTGGCTGTTTGGAGTAACTAGAACAAGTATAAACGCCATGCGGGTTCCATTCTGGTGAAACTAGAGCCAGAGATTTTTCCTGGGCTTTCATGGGAAAAACATAGAGGCGAAAAAGATGCAGCATATAGTTTGTAAATATTGGTGTGAAAAATCACGCTTCGAGGATCAATAGGAAAGTACACACACACACACACACACGCACACACACACACACACACACACACCAGGATGGAATGAAATGTACTTTGCTCACAGAGCAATCCCTTTTCGATTTCTCCCTGTCCTAGGTGTCTCCAAACAATTCTTGATTCATCATTGTCAAGGGGTAAACAAGTCTCCCCACATTCATCCTAGCTACCGTAGTAAATTCAACATCTCTTGTCTATTCCAAACCTCCCAGCCTAAACATGCTACTGCACTCTGCCAGGAACATGGATTGAGCTTTTAACCTTCAAGCAAACATTTCAAATAGAATGCTTAGTTACTTGGACCCGCCTCCCAAGAACTACAATACCCAGAATGCACTGTTTTCTTTTCCGCTTTCTACCAAGGCCATGCCTAACTTGATCTCATTTTCACAAGCAATAGTCACATGACACATTTCCTGTCAAGATGGCGGATGATCTCCTTTCGGAGTTTGATGTGATCGTAATAGGGCGGGTATGTTGTGGCTCTGGTACTTCCCTGACAAAGTATAGGAAGTCTGTTCCTACCATCTCAGTGGCGATGGTTGGCGAGAAATGCCATGTATTGAGCATGGGAGGATGGACGGAAAGGAAGTGAGGTAGTCGGGATACAGCGCAGGACTTGCAGCTCCAGGGAGGGGCTTGGGACCCCTGGTGCTTAGCGCTGTTTGAGTAGGGGTCGATCCGGTCGATGCTGAATGCTGAGGTTGGTTGCTGGGGGGTGATTCCTGTAACTTCCTTAGAGGGGGGTGGGTTTGCAGTGCTATGAGAATGGAGGGTCGGGATTTTATCAATGGAGACACCTTTGGCATGATGTGATTCCTTCCTTGTTGATTTCAAGGTGATATTTCCCATTATGTTGTCTCTCCATTTAATAAGAATGTTTCATAATCCTAGGGTTCAGTGCAGCTCGGATATAGCTGAATCCTCAGTTTTTCGAAAAAGATGCTCAGTTGTTATCCGTGTGCATTTTAATTTACCAGGGCAAGGAAACGATTCGTTTCTATTGTGTTGAGAAGTGTAGGTGATTGTGTTTTTTAAGATAGCCATTATTTCTGCTTTATGATGCAGAAAGAAATAATTTTGTTTTCTCATCCCACCTCCCTGCCCACAACTAAATGAGCTGAGAACAAGCTTCTGCGAGTTCCAGTTCAGATGTGTGGTCTTAGCTTCCCACCATTTTATTTTCCATGTTTTGGGTGGAGCCAGAAACCCCTTTGCAATTTCTTGTTAACAAATTATATGTACAACACATAGAAGAAGACATTTGGCAGCAGTTGGTATTTTCTTTTTCTTAACAGTGTCAAAGATGGATTTTCGATGTGGTGAAATAGATTGTTGGGTGGGGTTTTCTCCTATTTGAAGAATGTGGTAGGCTGGAGAAGCTCTGATGGATGAGACCTTTTCCATTGTGCTATTGAATTCAATTTCTTGTCTTCTCAAACATTAGGAGCAGCTATGTTTTCAGGTCAGAAGTAATAATAGCTACCTGTTTTCCAATGCTTACTATTTGCTAATTGAGGTGCTAAGCACTTTACAAGCTGTATGAAATCCTTACAACAACCTTATTAGAGTATGCATATTCTACACTTAAAATAAAAAGGAAGGGGCTTTGGAACGGTTGCAGTTTGCTCAAGGTCACACAGCTGGTAAATTTCCAAAGGCCTATCTTATCCTAGGAGATCAATGGTTCTGACTCTCAGTGTTAACTCATATTAGTAGAAATAATTGGGAAAACTTGGTTATAGACCTTGCTTGGCTATGAATTGTCTGTGTGAATTGCAAGGGCTATGTACTTAATTTCTCTGAGCCTCAGTTTCCTTGTTTTTTAATACAGGGAGGGTAAACTAGATAGTCTTAGTTGCTGCCTAACCAAAATTCTCTTATTCTAGTTGCACCTGGGTAATTATTCTCAGCACAGTAAGATATGTTGACTCCCATCCTGAAAGCCACATGACTGCAAACAACTAGTGTGTAATTGCTATGAATAGATATTGGAAGAAGCCAATAGAATATTCAGTTATTCTCTCCAGTGTATCCTAAAACTGAGAACAACATCCATTTTAGAGTAATTGTTGTACCATACTTGAGTTCTATATAATTGCTTTTCTTTTTTGTTACCTAGGAACTTGGGGTGTTTTAAAAATGTTTATTGAGTCATTGATTTTTTTCCTTATCTTGATTGAAATTAATTGATGATTGATAATTATTATTATTAAGTGCTGTTAATTCTTATAATAAACTAGAGGCCCAGTGCATGAAATTCGTGCTCAGGTGCGGTCCATAGGCCTGGCCGGTGATCGAAGTGCAAGTACCTGGCATGGAAAGGCAGGTCCCAGCTGACTTCTGGGCACTGGACAGCACTTGGGCCCCTGGGCCCCCTCGAGCCTCCCTCCTCCTGAGTCTCAGAGCCTGAGTCCCCATGTGAAGATGTGGTGAGCACTGCTGATGCCATGGGCCTGGGTGCAGCGTGGGCCTCTGGGCCACCCAGTGGTGCTGCATAGAAGCTCAGGTAGGGGGGCGGGGGGAAGAGGCAGCATGCTCTTTTGGCTGGCCTCCTTGCGGTTCCCGGCACTTGAGCCCAGGAACATTCCAGGCACACAAGCCCTGGCATCCCAGGAGAGGTTAGCAGGGGAAGTGAGAGCAAGCTCAGCCGACACACCACATTCTCACTGCACCTCCATCCACGTCCACGTTTCCCCCACCCCCTGGTAGCTGGTGAGAAGTCGCAGCACATCAGCCCCTGGTGGTCAGAGCACATCATAATGAGTGGTTGAACTCCCAGTTTAAGGACCTCCAGAGGGGACAATTTGCATATCAGGCTTTTATTATATAGGATATTCTGTCATGTAATTCAGTTTATTATATGGATTATATCCATCGTCTTGGAGTATATTATGATAGAGGTAGGAAGATACTGTGATTTATCCAGAAAATTGCATTGTGATGCATCTGATATCTGGGAAAAGATTGATGTTAGATTTCTTTTAGTGAGAGTCATGTTATTACTCAAAGTATAGGAAGAACTTACTTGAAGTTAATATTAAAACATTATGTTTTTATAGTCACTTAATGGTAAACATATTCTGAATTTATCAAGCACATTGCTTCAAATTATGATATGAAGGTGTTTTTTTAGATACGTTAAAGTGAAAAAAATTGGATAAAAGTTATTTCCCCAATAAATGATTTTAATAAACTCAATCATTAGTTAATTGGAATTATTTTTAATATATTTGGAATATTTTGTTTCTGAAATAGTTTGCTTAAAGTAGCCATTAAACTCTGCTTTACTAAATGTACTAGCTTGAGTAAATCAGGCAGAGCAGTGTTTCATAGCTTCAGTTTTACTGACAAAAGCAGAATTAATCATGCATATATCAGGGACATTAATATGCTTTGAAATGTAATTTTTCTCTTTTTAAATATATTTTTATTTATTTCAGAGAGAGGGAAAGAGAAACAGAAACATCAACGATGAGAGAGAATCATTGATCAGCTGCCTCCTGCACACCCCATTCTGGAGATCGAGCCTACAACCTGGGCATGTGCCCTGACTTCCTGGTTTACAGGTCTACATTCAACCACTGAGCCACTCCAGCTGGGCTGTAATTTTTCTTTTAGCAGAGTTAGTTCTAACTAAAAAATCATTAATAGGTAATTGATTCATCAAGTAAAATCTCTGGGAAATATTTTAAATCTCTATGACCTTGATTAATTTTTCCCCCCATTTTTCTTAAGATCATAGAATAGGGTTTTTCTTAAGATCATATTTTGAAGAAATTATGGGAAAATAAAGTTTTATATGTATTATCTTAGTTAAATCCATTTCCTTTTGATTATAAAATACAGGAAATATCTCTGGAACACCAAAAGACAGAGAAATAAGATAAAATACTTGAACCAAGAAAATATAGACAAGATGGAATAAGGAAGAAGAACCAACTGAAATCTCAAGGAAGAGGACAAAAATAGATGTGATAGGTGTCTAGAAAGTAGCCTTTAATTTGGGTACACAGTTGTCATTTTCAAGACATTTTACAATTTGAAATTACATTTGAATGTTAATTTTGTGTGTTGTAGAGAAGTATCTTTGGTTTTAGGTTAAAAATAGTCCCAGTAACATAACACCTCACTGGAGGTAACTTATCTGGAACTTCTGTAACCTTCAATCTGCCGCAGTGTCAACAACTCAATAGTAGAGCAGGCAAGATGGAAGTTGCAAGAGCTATGTGGTAATACAACATTCTTCTTATATAGGGAAATCCTGCAGGCTCTCACTTAGGGCATTTTAATTCTTTCTTTAAAAATGGTTCTAGCATTGTCAGAGTATATTAGAAGCATCCTATTAGAAGAGAGAGGGAGTGTTATCAGCTTTTACAAAAACTGTGTTTGGGTGTGGGGTGCCATTAGACATAAGCAACAGTTCATATCTTTATGGTGAAGGGAAGAGTCTAATACCCAAAATGCAAACCTACATCAAACAATACAATGGTCTGGGACCACTTTGTGTAGTGACAAACATTAATTTGTCAGTGTTTTCAATCCACATTTAATGAAAACATAGCCCCCGCCCTTGTGCAGGTTATCTGTTCTAAGGAACTATTTGTGGTTCCTGACAGTTACATCCTCAGAGCTATTCATAAGCCAATGTGGGCTTATCATTACATACTTTTTGCCTTCTGAAGGCCACCTACCTATTCAATATGCATCCTTTTCCTTTCTCAAGTACACTGCACAAGTAATATTTGGGACTTCTTTTAAGATGGGTTGTGGAATAGGCTAGCTTATTATTATTATTATATTTTTGTGGAGGATAAACACATAAATCCTTTTTAAGAGCCTTATTGCTAAAGATTATGAGGAAAGAGATGAAATAACCAAAATAACACACATGGAAATTACAAGTGGTATTGCTCTTAAATTGTGACTATCTTGCTAGATAGAACTCAACATCTACCTTTTATCTATCTATATAAAAGGCTAATATGCAAAATGTCCCCACAGGAGTTCGACTGGGAGACCGGGAGCTCACTATGATGTGTGCTGATCACCAGGGGATGGCACGGAACAAAGGAAGGTCCTGGCTGGCTGCTGGCAGCTGGGGAAGGAAGGCCCTGGCCAGCAGCTGGAAAGAAGGCCCTGGCTAGCAGCCAGAAGGCCCCGATCGTCCTGATTGCCAGCTTGGCCTAGGGACCTTACCTGTGCACGAATTTCGTGCACCGAGACTCTAGTAGTACAATAATAGATATGGCCTAATGGGAATCACTTGACCTTCCTACTGAGTGACTTTTGGCAAATTGCAAAATCTCTTGGGACATCATTTTGTTCCTGTGCAAAGCAAGATAATTGATTAGGTGACCTCTAAGGTAGGCATCTACCAGCTCTAAAATTTACCATTATATGTACATAATTATGACTCTGGGTCCTTGAGAAAAGGCTAGATTCCGTATAGTTCTTGTAAGAAGTCACATCAGTGTTTAATATACTTTACCACATTTTCTAACTGAATGGCTCGTAAAAAACTGTTTCTTGAGAATTATAAGCTGTTTTTATCATGTAGGCATACAGTTCCATTCCTTGATGTTAGTAGAGAATCAAAAATGTTAAGGTAATTAGCTTTTGGCTGGCAACCCATGACTATAATGCTTATGTTGGTGGTAGGTACCTACACTTCTTGAAACATTGGGGAATAGCAATACTGCAGGAGGTATCATAGAAACTGATATTTATCAAATACCTATTTGTGCCAGATTCTGCCAAGTGATTTCCCTTATATGTATCTCATTTAATCTTCTTCCAGGAAGTCTATATGTGGTTCTAACATCACAGGATGTCTATACTTCTGCTTGTATTTTAAACATCCATGGACCATAGAGCAGAGTTTGTTTTCCTCTCTCTTTTTATAAAATATTTATTTTTTAATCCTCACCTGAAGATATTTTTCCATTAAATTTTAGAGAGAGTGGAAGAGAGAGAGACAGTCAGAGAGAAATATCGATGTGAGAGAAACACATTGATTGGTTGCTTCCTGCACGAGCCCCAGGCTAGGGGAGGAGTTCAGGGAAAAGCCTGCAGCCCAGGTACATGCTCTTGACTGGAATCAAACCTGGAACACTTTAGACCCCAATCCTATGCTCTATCCAATAAGCCAAGCCAGCTAGGGTGTTTTTTTTCTCTTTTTAGTTGAAAGGTGTCACCTATTTTTGGGTCGTGAAATCAATTTTGGCATTTAAAAAAATGTAGAATAGATCAAAATATATTATTAGGTCTAGTAATAATTAATGTCGTTTTCTAATACTTTTTTAAATAGAATTTATTTAAACAATACAACAAAATTTAATCAACAATATAGTTGCCGTTGTTTTCTACTACTTGTGCCCAACGCTCAGGAAGCATTTTAATCCCTCTGTTGTAAAATTCTTGTGATTTTGATGCGAAAAATTCGGTCAATGCATTTTTGAGGCATTCTTCATTATTAAATTTTTTTCCAAGAAGAAAGTTTTGCAAAGAACAAAACAATTGGTAATCGGAAGGGGCAATATCAGGAGAATATGCAGGTAGAGGGAGAACTTCCCATTCCAACTGGCGCAGTTTTTCAGCAGTGATTCTTGCAGTATGCCGTCGTGCGTTATCGTGGTGAAGAATTACGCCCTTCTGATTAATCAGCGCGGGTTCTTTTTCTCTTAAAGCTTGGGCTAACCTTTCCAATTTGGCACTATACACTGCACTTGTAATGGTTTGGTTAGATGGTAAAAGTTCATAATGAAGAATTCCTTTAAAATTCCACCAAACACACAACATCACTTTTTTCGCATGCAAGTCAGGTTTTGGCGTGGGCTGTGGAGCCTCATTTTTGTCCAACCATTGAGGCCACCTTTTCAAATTAACATACAGCACCCATTTTTCATCTCCGGTAACAATTTGCTCTAAAAACAGCAAACGGTTTTGACGAGAGAGGAGCGAACTGCAAATTGTGACTCTTTGATTACGGTTGTTGTTGGTCAACTCATGAGAAACCCATTTTCCAAACTTTTGGACTTTGCCAAGTGCACGCAATTGATTGGAAATTGTTTTTTGTGAACAATTTAAAGTTGTCGCAAGCTCTTGTTGGGTAATTTGAGGATTTTGCACCAAAAGAGCTTGAAGAGCTTCTTGATCAAAATTGGACACACTGCCTCGACCACTCTTGTCATCTAATGAAAAATTTCCCTCGCGAAATTTCTCAAACCAACGCTGGCATTTTCTGGCGCTAACTGCATCTTGACCAAGAGCACTACAGATGTTTTTTGCAGCCTCACTTGCTTTTCTTCCTAATTGGAACTCGTAAAGCATGCAGTGCCGAATATGCTCTTCATCCGCCATCTTCTTAGCCGTAGTTTTGCAACAAAAACCAAACCAAACACAAACTTTTTCAAGCAAAACTTGTTAATTGCACTTCACATGTTCTGTAGATACCACGTGTTTGAAGGTTATGTCAATACAAGTCAACGCCAAGCAAGATTTTAAACGAATGTTTAAAAACGACATTAATTATTACTAGACCCGATACATGTAGTAAGCATGAGTAAAGTTTTATGAAACAGTTCATATGTGTGTAGTAGATCATTGTGTAAAATACAGGGTGGGGCAAAAAGTAGGTTTACAGTTGTGAGTATGTGAAACAGAGTTCTTCTATTATTATTTATTAATTATATTATTTTCCATAGGAACAACTGCAAATCTACTTTTGCCCCACCCTGTATATACATATTTTTATATATACCTATATATATTTAGAATACAGATAAAATAAGGAAAATGGTAACATGTTACCTTGGCAATGTATTGAACAGGGCAAGATAGGCATCTTTCACTTTCTCTTGTTTGTGTTAAGCCTCACCTGAAGATATGTTTTCCCCATTGATTCTTAGAGAGTGTGGAAGGGAGGGGGAACAACAGAGAGAAAAACATGTGAGAGAGACACATTAATTGCTTGCTTCCCACACATGCCCCAACTGGGGCTAGGAATCCAGCCTGCAACTGAAGTATGTGCCCCTGACTGGAATTGAACACACATCCCTTCAGTTTGCAGGCCGACTTTCTGACCACTGAGCAAAATAGGCTAGGGTAGGATCTTTCACTTTTTACATAATTTTATTCTGTTTAGCTTGATTTTTTTTAAAACAAGCATTTGTTACATTCATTTTTAAAAGCACAGATAATAAAAATGAAAGGAGTCCTTAGGGATCACCCAGTGTATCTAGAGACCATGATCACATACTAAGGGAGTCCATAATAGATTTAGGACTCCTGACTACCAATATGTTTTCTATTAGGCCCTGCTGCCAGGATAAGTAATTGCCCTTTACAGTAATAAAAGAGTAAGATGCAAATTGACTGTACCTTTGCAATGCCCACTAGCCAATCAGGAGTGAGTATGCAAATTAACCCAACAAAGATGACAGGTTAATTTGCATACACAGATGCTGAGTGGCCAGAGGCTGGTCGGGACACTTGCATTATCACCATGGCAATGACACAGGCATTCTGAAACACCCCAGCTGCTCTGGCCCTCTGGGCAGCGTGGGAAGGTGGAAAGGAGGCTCTGAGCCAGAGCGAAAGCACTGCTGGCAGCCAGGGGAAGGAAGGCCCATTCTTGCATAAATCTTCGTGCACCGGGCCTTTAGTTAATTAATAAGGCTCTACCTACTGCCCTTGAATATTTATCATTTTCTAACCCTCACGACTACCTTACAGGATTATACTGGTAAAGAAAAAAGTTCAGAAAGAACTTTCTCTAAACTACCCACCACACCATGCTGTCAGAGTGCAGCATAAACTCATGAAAATAATAGGAGGCAGATTCCCAGCCTTCTGTGGGATGTTCTGGGCAGTTTTTA